TTGAAAAAACAAAAGTTGTATCCAAGATGGCCGACTTCTAAATGTCCACCATGGTCACCACCCATCTTGAGGAGTTTGCCCCCTCACATATACCAATGTGCCACAAACAGGACTTTAATATCACCAACCATTCCCATGTTATTACTGTGTATCCATATAAATGGCCCATCCTGTAGTTTAAATAATGCTTATTCATCTTAAACTGGGCCTCGGTAAAGCCAAGAAAGCATCTGGAATAAATTAATCATGTAGATGTAAAAACTTCTAATGGCAAGAAGCTGCAAAAAAGAAGAGCAATTGTGTAGTCTGTTGAAAAACAGCCCTACCAACTGCTTGATTACAGATTCTGTATGCACTTTTGTGATGAGTTTATGTACTTTGTCTCTACTTTTAAGTTAATCGAAATATAGCGCTGTTTTAATTTTGTAAATGATGATATCATTTAGACCAATGATAGAGCAGTGTGTGTCTACTTATTTGTGCAGTGTAATGGGTTTCTCAGCCAAATCAACCCCTTGATCTTCCAAATTCAAAAAACCAAGATGCTGATGCCTGTAAGACCACAGAGCAAAGGTGGACATCCCACTGACTATGTCAGCTACTATATACACTCTCTTGGTTGGACCAAAGTTATGAGCTTACCAGCAAACCCGCAGACGAATATTTCAAGCTTATATTGTGACTAAGAATAGCAGATATGTAAATACGTAGTTATTAATCTGCACACAAACACGCCCTTAGTCAAAGATGTAAACAGACACTGATAAACAAGAGCAAAACCCACTCTGCGTATTCCCTCTGACCTCTGGAAAGTTTTCGGTGTTTTCCTCAGTTCTCTTTCCTCAGCAGAGCTTGGTGCCAGTCCTGAGCTCTGTGGCCAAGCACGCTCGGCGACAAAAATATCACTCGGACCCCACCGTGCACAGATGGCCTCTCAGCTTGGCTTGTCACGACTCACGGTCTATTACAGGAGGTTTTGTGATGGACGGTCAGCCTCTGAAGGAGAACTTCTTCCACAGGGTAAATGGTTAGAGACCGAGAGGATGCCCTGACTGTTGCCTGGCACTTTGCCGGGGGAAACCGTAGGGTCTGGAATGAGACTGCTGCTCCAGCAGGAAGTGATGCATGTGCGAGCCAGGAAACAGTCGGCGGGCTGTAGCAAGGATTAAAGCGGTGGATGGTGGTGGAAATATTTAGAAAAGCTGCTTTAGCTGCTTCGGTGCACTCTGAGGGAGTCTCTGTTGAATAACACAAGGACTAATACTCAAAATATTATTAATATTGTCTCATTAACAGGAGCTCAGAACATTATCATTATCATTGGATAATCATTATCCATTATTGGGAAGGACATAGAGAGGGTGTCCGGGTGTGTGTGCAGCCTGTCAGGATCTGTTGCTGAGGTGTATTCTTTAACATCTTGGTACACATAACGGTCTTGTCTAATCAATAGGCGGTCACTGTCATGGCTGAAGGGCATGCCGGCAAAGACGCTGATGAGATATGGGACGCATGAGACAAAGGGGATGGGGAGCGTCATGACTTGTTTACTGCAGCTGTTTGCTGTCAGCGCCGCATTTAGCGGCTTTCACTGCTATGTCTCTCGTGCCTGGTCCTGCCAGACAGACAGACAAGGTGATGAGCAGACAGCAAAGCCCCTAGTGGTAAAACGAACAAGACACGCGGAGAATGCTGTCGAGATTGGACGGGAGTTAACGAGGAGACAAGCAAGGGGACATTCAAGTCATCAATACGGGCCAGTGACAGGTCCTGTCACTGCACTGACACGTAGAGAGCTAATTATCAATGCTAATCAGGAGGGTAGTCAACAACAGCAATACAGAAAGGGACATTTTTGTCCCCAGTAGCAAATCAGTAGGCTGAAAGACCTCACGTCCTGTTACCCAAAGGGACAAACAGGAGCTGATTTAAATCCCTGACAGGAGGACCTGACACTGCCAGGGAGACAAGCGCCGAAGCCCGAGTAACGAAATGAGTGTGAAAAAAGGCTCGTGTTTTCTCAAAGTATTCACTAATATCAAAATCTTTTGAATCATCGCTGAAATGAGATAATGGATGCTATTTCTATGAGCCAGTAATTATTATTTTTTCAGTTTTTTTGTTAGTTAAGAAAGACTGCTTCTGTTTTCATAAGTTCATGAAAGAAAAATACTATAAAAAAAAAATGTGACTAAAAATATCCACACATATCTCATCTGGTACCTGTGGTTTATAGCTCGAAGTGTGTCTTTATGTTCTTTCTTATTGCTGTCATTAATCCTTTATGTATTTGCTTTTATAGTGGTACAATCTTATGACAGAACTGATAATAAATAAAAATGAAAACAATAAAAACAACTAGATATAGTGATGCTCACACTAGTGCTCACAAAAGCTACATAAAAAAGGGGCCCAACTGAACAGAAGAGATAAAATATAATGAACTTGGCAATTTATTTATTGAGGAAAATATGATTTATCTGTTGGGTGGAAATGTATGTGGATTAGTGGTCAGTTTCAATTTGAAATTAAAATCAATTGTTTTCATCTAAAGGTTTGACAATCAGCTGTGACATTTACAGCACAGGTTTATGGAAGTGAAACACTGCGCAAACAAATGAGACTTTGCTCGACTCAGCACTGAACCATATCTATATAGCTTGGACACCACAAATCCACAGCTGGATAGATTTTGTACAAATGGAGCAAATTCAAGACATTCTGATCAGTTCATAAAAAACACCTGAAGAACACGGTCTGTAGCGGTCTGTGACGTCACTATGGGTGATCTGTAAGTGTTTAAAGGAGCCTTTCATACTGGTCAATGTTCATGTTCATGTGTTGCTACACAACAATCGTGTGTATGAGAGGGCTGAAAGGTGAATGCCACAATTCTGTGAAAAAGGACATTTGCAGCTTGCTACAGGTCACATGAATAGTTCAGAGACTGCTTAAACAATATGTGGATTGGTGGAAACCAAAATACTACTTTGTGGCTTAAATGAGAAGCATTTTGTTACGAGAAAGGAAAACACAGCATTCCAGCGTAGGAATCGTATGAAAGACGGTGGTGGTAGTAGCTATGTTTGGGCCTGTGAATTCTAGCAGTGAATTGTCAAGCAGATGGCCCCGCCCCTCCCTGAGCCTGGTTCTGCCGGAGGTTTCTTCCTGTTAAAAGGGAGTTTTTTCTTCCCACTGTTGCCAAAGTGCTTACTCATAGGGGTCATATGATTGTTGGGTTTTTCTCTGTATCTACTGTACAATATAAAGCGCCTTAAGGCGACTTTTGTTGTGATTTGACGCTATATAAATAAAATTGAATTGAATTGAAGACAGAAAAGGTCAGAATGGTTCAAGAGTAATTAAAGCTTAAAAGGCTTTGGACTGGTCATGTTAACCTTCTGACTCAAACTCAGCACTTCATGTTTTCAATAGTGGAAAAGAGATTTCTTCTAGTCAGTGTGGGGGAAAGTTCAGCTGCAACTTTCAGAGCACAAGCTAAACGTTCTCATTCCCAATGCGTAACATACCGACAGTTTGTCACGTCCGGAGGCATCTCATAGTAACCCAAAAGGTCCCTATGATACGCGCCGGAGTGTGGATGGAATTCAATAGAATGACGCTCCTGGTATTAGATATTGTTTTCCAATGTTTCCGACGGGTTGGATGGCCAACGTTTTGGGATGACAGCGTGTTGGGCTACTAAATTACGGAGCCCCGCAGGGGACATGGGAGAAAAAAAAAATTAAGACAGACTTTTGCGAGGTCTCGCAAAACAAACTCGGGATCTCGCAAAAGTTTTGCAAGATCTCCCAAAAGTTGAATTCCAACAATGGCGGCAGCTACTTAGTTGTAATATTACTCTTTCTGGGTCACAAAATACACTTTTAAGATATTTTGAGGCGTGAATGTAGTTGTGTAAACGTCAGATACCTGCTCGGTTTACAAGACATCACATATTTGCAAAAGTGCTCCGAGTTTTCGGAGATCTGACACCCACCATCTCAAAGCTAACGGGAGGTCGAGACCTACTACAGCCGGGAGGAACACCGCTTTCCCGGCACATCGTGCCTCGACCTCCCGGTCGGCTTTGAGCTGGCGGCCTTCGAAGAATGCGGCTAAAACTTTTGCGAGATCTTGCAAAACTTTTGCGAGATCCCGAGTTTGTTTTGCGAGATCTCACAAAAGTCCGCCTTAATTTTTTTTTCTCCCATGTCCCCTGTGGAGCTCCGTACTAAATAAAGTAGAAGGTCATGTTTTTTGACACTCCTTGTTAAACACTTAATTATTTTCCAAAACAAATATATGGTCTATTATTCTCTGTCTCCTTTCTTTAGCATTCTTCTTATTTACTTTCAGGACTTAACTCAAAGGCTTAAGAAATTTTCAAACACATGTTAACAGTGGATTCTGTTCCTTCTCAGTTCATTTCGACTGATTTCTGTTGCTCTTACATTTGAAATTTAATGTCAGTGCCTTTATCTTCAGCACTTTAGCTGCACGTCAGCTGACTTTTCCAGCTCCACTGTTTGCCTCCACTCCTTGATTCCTCTCAGTATTTGAACCTGAACTGAAATTGAACTTCTTTTAGTACTTCAAAAGTTTCCAACTGCACATTTGCAGCACCACTTGTTTTTTTAAAGCAGAAATGTTGCATTTTCTAGAGCGAATAATATCTGCAAACTTTCTTAGGCTTTCCAGCCTTATTAACATAAGTAAAAGAAAAAAGAAAAAAACCCCACCGGTGATGTACATATGTGTTCGTGCATCTTTGTGAGTACTCATATGAGGACACCTGTTCATCTGAGCATGGCAACCAGATTTGTGCAATCAACTGTGTGCGTAGATGCGGGTGTCTATGTGCGCTGGCTTGCATATGTGAGCACCTATCCATTTGCGCGTATCTGTGTGATGTGATGTGGATGATGTGTGGTAGTGAAGCATATTTGCCTCCAAGCTATATCATTTGCATACTTGTCACAGCCTGTCCATTGGGTGTCAGGTTCACTGATGCATACTGTGTTCCATTGGCAGCTCTGGTATTCATGGAGTCCCACTGTTATGGTGAGGTACCTGTCGAGTGCTGTTGCTTTGGCAGACAGACATCACATACGCATGAAGATAAAGAGGAGCACCTATTTGTCTATGTGCGTATGCACATGTGTTTGAGAGTGTGCAGATATGTAGCTTTATTGCCAGCTGTCTTGGCTGTCAATCCATGCTGTATCAGTGCGTCTAACCTACTGCTGTGAATAAAGACCCAAACATTGTTGCTTGATTAAATCAGGAGTGACCACCTTTGATGAGAAGAATGCCATTTTCTTTGTATATCTCTCTCCACTGAAGGAAAAAAAACTTGCAGAAAGAAAACACAAAAGAAAAGTGCATTGCTCCTTTAAAAAACAACAACAACAACAATTTAAAAAAAAACCCTGACTCTATTATGACAGAAGAAGAAGAAGCAATGACGCTCCCTTCAAAACAGGAAAAACAAGTGCAAAATCTTCGAGGGAAGCAAATTCTTAATGGCTTTAGAAATTTCGAACTAATTCTTCAAAGTCAAAGAGATCCCTGTTGCTCAGATAAAACAGAAAAAGAACACACGCACACACAAGGTAAGTAGGCTCCCGAAGCTTACACAAAAAGAAAAACACACCGGCTATGTTACACACGCACACAAACCCACAACAGAAAGCATCACGCAGAGTTTTGAACAAGATCCCAGTTTATCTCAACCTTCATCCCCTTTCCCTTCCAGCTGAACTTCCACGGTGTGAACCGGAAGGTCCCTCATAAAAAAACTGCAAAAAATGCAGTTTTACTTTTTTTTAAAAAGAAAGTGCAGACAATAAACAAGGCTAAAATATTTTTACTGTGAGTTTGCCATGTGGTATTTACTTTGATGGAAGTGGCTGCAAGAAGAGCATGCAAGCATAAAGAAAATATAGGTGCTAGAGGAGGTATGAGCATGCACACATGGAAACCGGCTCACAGGTGTTAAATGATTAGAGGACAAAGAGAAGACAGACACACAATAGAGGTTGTCCCTGCTGTTTCAGAGAAGAGGATTCTCAGCTTGACTAGATGATATAATGAGCTGTTATGTTCTGGGTGATGAGATGAGAGGAAAGGACAGAATAGAGGAGACGCGCGAAAGGAGGAGGAGGAATCGAAAAACAAACTCAGACAGACACACACATTGAATTACGCTGTTTTCTGAGGCACCTTCAAACTGTGACAAAAGCCTCGGCTGTGTGAAAGGTTAAGATTTCAATTTTGGTGGCTACAAGTCACAGCAGTGGAGGCGAGTCAGGAAAAATGAAAGGGCGAGGGCAGCATTTTTGGAAGGTGGTAGGAGTTAGGGGCCTAGGTTATTATTTATTTGTCATGTATTAGTTTAGTGGATTGTGCATGTGTGTGTGTGTGTTTGTGTCAGGTGAGAAACAAGAAAGGGGAGGAGTGGTGGGTGGGGGGGCAGATGCTAAAGGTCTCTGTTGATGATTTGCACGCTCCATCGAGCTGACTGCTGGGGCATAAAAACTTACATGGTCGGTTTCTTCAACCTGCCTGACCTCAATCTCCACTCTACACCAGGTCCCTGTGCTGCGTACCCACCCTGTGGAGCTCCTCCTCTTTGGAACCCTCCCTTTTCACAACC